GTGTTATTGGCTTTCAAACTCCACCTCAGCAAGGTAACTATCCCCCACCACAACAAGGTGGATATCCTTCTCAACAAGGTAGTTACCCTCCTCAACAAGGTAGTTACCCTCCTCAACAAGGTGGTTACCCACCTCAACAAGGTGGATATCCTCCTCAGCAAGGTGGATATCTTGCTCAACAAGGTGGATATCCTCCACAACAAGGTGGATACCCTCCACAACAAGGTGGCTATCCTCCTCAAAATGGTTATCCCTCACAAGGGGCAACTGGTTTTCAACACAATTCAATGAGTTCCGCAGGTAATGAATAATAAATAAATATAACAAATTTCTTTAGTAGTGAACTTTTGTCTTGATGTATTTGATGAAGTCCAGCTGCATAAAATATATGCTATTGATAAAGTTGAAAGCATAAGGTTTTTAAATAATTAAATAATTGTAATATGCAACTTATAGAAATCAATTCTTTTATCGTAGTATAAATAATAATATTGACTATGGTGTTTTTGATTAATTTTTGAACTATAGATGCAAAAGCTGCCGAAGCAGCTCAATCTGCTTACTATGATCCCAATAGGCCTCAAATGGCGTATGTACCACCACCAGCATACTATGTAAGTAATATTTTGGAAATATTTCTTTTATAATTATCTAAAATTCTGTACACCTTTTTAGGAGAACCCACCAAATTATTACCAAGCCACTGATAAAAAAACACAGTAAAACTTACTTTCATAACAAATTTAATTTTATTAAGTATTTTTGCTTTATTCTTGTTATTCTTTTGTAAATGTGAGCACATAACTGGCATTCCCTATTACCATTAATGTAGTCTTTAATTTACTTGTTAAGCAGTAAATACCAAGTTATCTATTGAATTGGGTTTTAATAACAGTATTTTTTGGTAGCCTAAGGAGGAAATGATTTATATTCTTAATAGATATTTTAAATAAGAAAGATGCTAAAGCAAGCTTCATGTTAAGTAACATATAAGAAATTATAATATTGTAATATTTATATTCACCACATACATTTAAAATTGCTTGTATATAATTGAAATTAAATGTACCAAAGTGCAAAGTTGAAATGTGTTTTATTTTAATATTTTTCATCGCGTAAACCTACGTTTGCATTTATTTGAATAATTCGCTAACTTTGTCGAAATCGTTATTTTAAAAAATTATTTTTATATTAACTTTTTTCTCATGGATGAAATTAATCCAGGAATTCAGCAAAAACTATAAAACGTTCACTTTTCGTCGCAGTTAAGATAAACTTGTAAAAGCTATGACTTTTCATAACTTTAATTTGTTATCAGAAATAAAAGGAAAACATCGTTTCATGGTATATTTTCAGCTATATTTGTAAAAATAATCTCGAACGATATACCACATTGGCTAGAAAAACTGCCTGTTACAACTCGCCGTCTAATGTTTTCGTATAGGTACTTCATTGAACTAGACCAGTGTTTCCCAACCTTTTTTTCCTCGCGAACCAAAAAAAAGGTCCGAAAAAATTTGACGAACCCCCTATGTAGTCGTTAATGACAGGTAAAAAGAAGCAATAAAATTTTTCATATTGCAGAATAATTGATTGTCTTAATCAATAAAAATAAGTTATAACAATAATTAAATTAATAATTATTAAATCATTTACACGAGAGTCACAGTATCACTATCACTCAAGCTTTACAAGTGCTAAGCCTATGGATGAACGTCGGTTAGTACAACATTACTCTACCAGTTCCCGGTTGTGAACTAGTATCTAATTCTAAAATCTGTAGTAAACTGGCTTAATTTGATATTTATTTCCAATTGTATTGTAAAAAAAAATATTACATAGAAGGGAAAACTGCTGCAATGATTTTAA